ATTTCGCTGATTATGACGGGGATCGAGCTGCCCGGTCAGCTCGCGGGGGTCAAGGGGGCAGCGCCCCTTGGCGGGTCTAGGGCAGCGCCCAGGCGGGGTCGAGGGGCAGCGCCCCCGAAGTAAAATGCAAAATTACATTCGAAGTTGCATGTCCGTCCTTGTTCGCTCGAGCAAAGGAGTTCTCGCTCGAGCGAAGGCTGTGTCTGGTAAAAAACCTGAGAATGATGAATGTACACTCGAGCAAAGGTTGTGTGGCTCGAGCGAAGCCACTTATGGAAAAACACGCGAGATTAGTTCCTCGCTCGAGCGAGCTTCGCAGTCCCAGATTTCTATAAGTACGTGTTTCTGTCAGATTTTAGGATTACTTCTTCAGATCTTTTTTTTGGATATTAAGGTTTATATATGGGGATATTTTGCTAGTTTTCTTTGATGTTTAATTAAGTATTCAACTCATGGGTTAAGAAGAATACATCAAAGGTTTGTTTGTTCATTGTATACAAAAGAGAGAGTTGTTCTTCGGTGGATTCTGAAGAATTTGAGTCTGAAGCTTTGGTGGATTCTGGAGTGGCTCATCGTCAAGACAATTCCGAAGTGAAGACGCGGTTGGAAGAGACACATAGGGGTTGGTTCAATTCGGGCGTGGATTCGCTAGGTAATTGAGAGTATACCTGTGTAATTCCTTTATATCTTCTTAGTGGATTATTTTGTGGCTGTTGCCCGTGGTTTTTTTATCACAATTGGAGGTGCTCCAATTGTGGTTTTTTCACGTAAAATCGTTGTGTCAATTTGTCTTGATTGTTTGATTGGGATTGTTATATATTGCTTAAAATTGATACATAATCACAAAACAACATCTAGGGGATTTCTAGATTTTTCACCTTGAAAGAACTCAAACATATTTTGATCTTCCTCCATGCCAAAATCAACAATACCACTAGCTTCGATGAGTCTCGGCTTCGTCTTTGGCGTCGACTTCTTCGCACTCTTTACTCTGCAGAATATATCATCGAATCTTTCCTTCTCAACACCCAACAAAGGAGACCATGGATCCAAATCCAGTTCACCTACAAAATGAATAAAATTGTACGGAGCTTCAGAGATGTATCCACTCAATCATTTCCACATCAACATCGACCGGCAACACAAACAGACCAATACAATATCCTCGATCATAAGAAATTTAATCAAGCATTCGCAACGCATGAAAAAATGCAGCACGATGTACTTGTTGGACGTGGAGATGTCGAGAAGGAGTTAATAACTCGATTGACCGACAACGAGGAGGAGAAAAGCCTCTGTGTGATTTCTCTGGTGAGCGAAGAAGCACTTGGAAAGACGGCACTGGCAAGGAATGTCTACAACAGAGTAGACATTCGGCAGCATTTCCAATGCCGTGCTTGGCTCCACGTCGCCAAAGATTTCACATACAAGGATCTGTTGCTTGCAATAATCAAACAGATTCCAATATGTGGCGTATTGGCTGACGTGGAGCTTATGAGCGAGCACCAACTGTCAGCTTTGCTTTTCCAGATTTTAATAGAGCTCTGGTTTTTAATAGTATTGGATGGTATCTGCACCAATCATGTCTGGCTCGTGTTAGCACTCCCTTCACTGTTGCTGCGAATGGAAGCAGAGTCATCCTCACTACGCGCAACTCTAAGGTTGCATCTGAGGTTGACCCGTGGGGTCACCCATTGAAACTAATGAGGTTATCTGATGAGGAGAGTTGCGAATTGTTCTTGAAGGTGGTAAATGAGGCAAATCATGATAATTTGAACAATTTCAAGGTAGGAATTGTGAGAATATGTCGCAGTTTGCCTCCAACAATTGTCCTGCTTGGAGGATTGTTTTCGAGCATACAACCGAATGACGAGTGGTCCGGTGTAACTGATCATCTTTCACAGTACTTGGGGGATGATGATCAATCAGTTGATCTCTTGACTATCGTAGCTTTAAGCTATCATGAGCTACCGTATGTGTTAAAGCCGTGTTTCCTTTGTTTGACTCTCTTCCCTAAAGCGTATGAGATTTCTACGCGGAGGTTGTTGCAGTTGTGGATTGCCGAGGGATTTATTCAAATATCAACTACTACCGCGACTAGTGTCCTTGAACTTGAAGATCTGGCCAAGGCATATTTGGAAGAACTAGTATCGACAAACATGATTGAAATAGCCACATGGAAAGAACACGGAAGCCCCAAAACATGTCGAATGTCGAGCTTTCTTTACAATGTCTTCTTGCCAAAAGATGAGGATATAGGATTTCTTCAAATCCACCATTGCAATTCACATGTACATGAGTCTAATCAGATTATTCGGAGGCTTGCAGATCATTATGTTGGGGTCAAGTCTACTTTGGAGTCTCATACTCAACATCTATGCTCGTATGTTTCATTCAAAGCCCAAAAACAAGGTACATCTAACAGAGAAGTCGGTACATTGCTTAACACAATAATCAGTAAGAGGAGATCTAGAGGTATTTTCCTGATGAAAGTGCTTGATCTAGAGGGTGTCTACAAACCTTTGCTACCCGAGAAACTCAGCTAATACTTACAGAACCTAAGGTCCATAGGCTTGCGATGGACCGGTCTAAAATCTTGTCCGGAATCAATTGGGGATCTACCATGCTTGGAGACTTTAGATTTGAAGTATACTAATATAACCACTTTGCTGGGTTCCATTTGGAAGGCAAAGAACCTTCGACATCTCTTTATGAACGAGGTGTCAATTGCGAAGCCATCATCAAAAGAGTCTTCACGGACAAACCTTCAGACCTTAATGGGCCTCCTGCTTGGTGCTAAGGACCCTTATGAATACGGCTTAGATTGGTTCACCAGCCTTCGGAAATTGGGAGTGTCATGCCATCCAAAAT